CAGAGGAAATATGATTTATTATCGACGCCGATGCTAATTAGAAACCCCCTGGGCAAAATAAAGAAAAAATTTTTTTTGTATTATTTAAAATAAGAAAACATCATCAAATTGAGGAGAATTGTTAATATATTCTCACTATTAAGGATTAATATTAATTCGCGGTTATTTTATTTTTTGAATGTGCAACACATTCGGGATTTTGAAACAAAATATAAAAGTTCTTTTTTATAATTAAAATGTCATCAGCAACTTATAAATCAAGAAAAAATAAAAATTCGCCAACACGATATTCAACTCCCGTTTAAAGTCAAACTGAGAGTAACAATGTTAATACAGATATTTATATTTTAAAAAATTTAAACATTGCCTTTATTTAATCCTTTATTATAACTAGAGAATATCTGATAAAAGAAAAAATAGTAATCCTATCAGACCATCGAATACTAAACAAAATAACACTGTTTATTCATTGAAACCATCACTGGCTTTGACTGTTAAGGAGAGTACCTTAGTTGTTGAAGCATCACAACTTATAGCTGCAAAACGAGCCGATTGTGTTTTGGTAATTGACGAGGAAGAAGCTTTATCGGGAATTTTTACTGCTAAAGATTTGGCCTTCAGAGTAATAGGTGATGGTTTAAATCCAATGACAATAACCGTAAAACAAATCATGACAAAAGATCCAATGTGTGTTAGAGACGACACTTTAGCCAACAACGCTCTTAATACAATGGTTACACGAGGATTTAGACATCTTGTATGTACAAAATTTACTATTTTTGTAGCATTAACTAATTGTAAATCTTTTTTTAGCCCGTATTTAACGAAGACGGCGATGTAGTAGGGCTTCTGGATATTACAAAATGTTTGTACGAAGCTTTAGAAAAATTAGAACGTGCTTATGGATCTTCTAAAAAACTTTATGATGCTCTTGAAAATGTTGAAAGAGAATGGACTAATCAATCATCTCCAGTTTTACAATATATGCCTGTTTTAAAAGAGAAAATGGCATGTCCTGATCTAACCACTGTGTTGGATGGTTATCTACCTGTACAGGTTGGAATTAAAACTTCTGTTAGGGATGCTGCCAGATTAATGAGAGAGTATAGAACAACCGCTGTTTTGGTAATGGATCATAATATGATTGCAGGTATTTTTACAAGTAAAGATATTGTTCTGAGAGTAATAGCTGCATGTTTAGATTCTTCCGCATGTAACGTTGCTAGAGTAATGACTCCTCATCCTGACACTGCCCCTCCACATACCAGTATCTTGATGCATTAAAAAAGATGTATGGTATGTAATAATCATAAGATATATATATTATTTTGAAATTTTTTTTTAATTTTTGTTATTTTAGATGGTCATTATTTGAATTACCAGTTGTTGAAGGTGGTAATATTTTAGGAATGGTAGATGTATTAATTAAATTGTTTGTTAGATATATTTAATGCAAAATCAAGAGAATTGTCCTGGTCCAATGTGGAGTAAATTTTGGAATTCATTTGCAAGTGATGGAGATAATGAATCAATCATTTCTGATTCAATAACACCATCACAAAGTGCTTCTAATATTCCTCCTCTATCACCTCATATGAATGGATCAGGTTATGTTACTCCAATTCCAGAAATTCATCCTGGTGAATCAGTTTCAGTAATTGATGATGGTTCTGTAGCATCTTTCCCTCGTGGTCATGATGAAAATTTCTTTACTTTCAAATTCAAAGATCCTAATGGCAAATCACATCGCTTCACTGTTAATTACACATGCTTTGAAAATATCTTTTTTGCTGTAACTTCCAAACTTCCATCAACAATCAAGGATTTCAGCATTTCTTACATGGATGAAGATGATGATCAAGTTACAATGTCTTCAGATGATGATGTTATTGATGCTGTTCGTATAGCTCAACAACAAGGTCATAATAAGGTTATTTTATATATTCAAAAAAAAACAAATGTAAAAAATCACTATCAAAAACAAAGTCACAATTGATAAAATTTGTTGACTGATGAAATTTTAGATAAAAAGAAAAAGAAACAAAAATCTAAGGATTCAGATAAGCCAATTTCAACTAACTTGGTAATACCTAGTGCAACTCTTTTTGTAACAATTGTGGTTTTAGGTGTATTTATATTATCACAACCTTCTAAATAAAAAAACTTTTTTTGAAAATTTATATACTTCATCTCCAAATTTTAGTGGTTAATGGAAGAGCAATTCAATTTTAATAACATTAAGGGTGAACGAATGCATGGTTAATTGAAAATTAAATCGATCTAGTTGAAAATTAAGCTCCTTGTCTTGTAAAAGAATATATATTTATATTTATATGTTTTTTGTATGGTCCAAAAAAATCCCGTTTGTTTCTCGTTATTTTCTATGTATTTATAATAATTTATTATTGTTATTAAAATAGATATAAAGAAAATGTAATTAAATATTAATATTATGTGATTACAATTCCGAAATATTGATTTTTAAAAATACATAATTTTGTCCTTTAGCAATACAAATTTCAGTCTGATCCTAAGGAAAAAAAAAACAATAAACAATAAATTCGTTTATTAACATTAAATATTACGGAAATAAAAATCAACTTAAATACCTGTCTGTTCAACGATTTGATTATCTTCTAATATATAAATGGTATTCAAAATTGTATCAATCATAGAAATTAAATTAAAAAAAAAAAATACAATTCAAGAAAAAAAATTTTTTTGAAAATGGTTTAAGTAAATAAATAATTAAGTTTTAATCTAATTTAATATTGATGTGAATATATAAAGGCTATATGTAAGATTTATTATCTAATGATTGATATAGAATTGAAATTTTGTTTTTGTGAATTTATGATTGAGTTTTGTTTGATTTTAGTATATAACAATAATGATGGATAATGATAATTAATAATTATAGTATTGATAAGTAGTATTGATAACGAATAATATTGATAATAATACACAATTTAATTTTTTATTTTTTACCAAAACCAAAAAATCTTGCAAACATTAATTCTTCTACCCAATCCACTTCAGCCTCAAATAAAAAATCTTTCATATTTTGAGATGGTTTAATATCTTGCCAATTTTCATGAACATATTTCAAAGACTCCGTTTTGAGAAATAGATCATTAAATCTAAAACCTAGAAATAAAATAGTTTTCCAATTATTTAAATTTATTTTATTCATTAATTTATTTCTAATAAATTGTAATAACTCTTTCATGTCCCACATATCAGCTTTTAAATAAATATCTTTTAGAGCCTCAACATTTAATCCAGTCTCTAGTTTACCACTATAAGAATAATATATTATGGCTCTAAAGGTTGTTAAATCAATATCCTTTATTGATATAACATCATTCATACTTTCAATCCATTCACCTAATAATAATTTTTCAAAATAAGTTGACTGTGACATTAATAAAATCCTGCTGGCCTTAATAGTTGATCCACAATCCAACTGAAAAGTGATGTCTGATAATTTATCATTACCAAAAAATTTGCTGAATTTTTGTAAAGATTTACAATTACTTCCATCACATTCATTTAATATAGTATTTTGATCATTAAATATACAAACACATATAATAAGATGGACTTCAATCGAATAATCTTTACTAGGAAAAACATCATCATGAACTAAAACTTTTTTGGTTCCCCAACATTTTGTGCCATTAAAATCCCATGTACTTGTTAAATCCAGTAAATTCCCTAATTTTTTTAAAGAACAATCAGATCGATTTAAATGAAATATTTCAAAATTATATTTTCTTCTTCTGGTTGTTATATTATTTCTTTTTTCATAACTTGTTTGAAATCCATCTAAATAAACTGATATATGATTGTTTGAATCTCCATCTTTTGGATATAATCTAAGTCTCCAAACATAATCTGTAGATTCATCTTTAAGCGGTGGAAAGGGGTATGGATGTTCTCTTTGAGTTTTGAATGGTAATGACAAAGTAAATTGTTTTATAGGTGTGCGTTCGATTAATTGCTCAAAATGTGGTATAACCCAAGTAAAATTATATTTAGATGAAATTTTAGATATTGCTGTTTTGGCTTCACTTTCAATTTCCATCTATAAATTGTTTTGCAAAATGTAATATATATATGGGGTTTGTACTAGGAAAATCAAGCTTCCAGACAAAAAATCTATTTTTAGTAACAACCCTTATAAATTTGGTTACACATGTTTTTTATATATAAAGAAAATATTCCAAGCCTTGTATCTCATTTTTCTACTATTACTATGCAAACAGGGACCAATTTTTTCACCAGCTGTAAATCCTTTATTAGTATTAGAGAGTAAAAAAAAAAAAAATAGCTGGAAGCTTGATTTTCCTAGTACAGACCCTATATGGGTATGCTACCAAGTGACACAAATGAATTGGATTTTTAAGTCATGTAAAATTTACTGTGCAAATTATAAAATTAATTGTAAAATCAGAATTATTTCTAATCCAACTATCATTCTCGACCATACCCGAGACCTCCAAGCGCATATAGTTGCTAAAAATGCTGGAATCTTTAATAATGATGTTTCCAAAAAATTTGGAAAATGTGGCATGGAAAACCTTTGGAAGTTAGACCTCAAATATCAGAAAGACATACAAAGAGATTATTAGAGTACAAGTATAGGCCTCGCCACCCACAAGATAAGAAACGTCATCTACAACAATCACCACCAACTCATGAAGGAGAAACAACCCGTTTTAGAAAAAAGTTAATAATAACAATATCAATTGATAATAACATTAACTATAATATAATAGATTATTATACAACAAATATTGTATCAAGATCAAGATCAAACGAACAATTGATGATAATAATAATAAATCAATCCATCAACATCTTCAAAGTAATAATTACCGAACTTCAACCAAACTATGATATTGGTTTCAATAATTATAATCTTATAGTAATATTATCAACAATAATTCTTTTTTGTAACAAAATCTGATTATTATTTTAAGATTTATTAATTTTTTTCTATTTCATATTATTTTTTTAAGGTTGTTTCAATATTAATAGTTCTTTTATTAATCATAATAATTGTAACGTTATAATATATATGTGTATATGTATTACTTCTTTCTCATTCTGACCTCTCTTCACCATTCCCCGAATTATAATTTTTAATATCTCCTTGATGATGACAATGGGCTTGATGACCTTCCACGTCTTCTACTACTTCCAATTCTACTTCTTGTTGATGGAACGATCTCTTGTATCTCTATCCGGCAAACTAATAGTTGGATTAACAGGTGGTCTTATAAACGCAAAATCACAAAATAACGTTTTACCAAGGAATTTTGTTCCATTAATTCCATCAATTGCTTTTTTTGATTCTTTATAAGTTCATATTCAACCAATGCATATCCCATTGGAGATCAATTGGAAAATATCTTTATCACATTGTTACAAAAGGAAGTGATATATTGAATTATTTAGATGATTACCAAAATCCAAAGGAATTAATAACTAAAACAAGAATGAAACTATATGGAGAATACATTGAATTCTTAGATAAAAAACAAAATTTATGAAGTTTGCTTGTGGTAGTATTAGAATTCCACCTAAATTCAAGATCCACATAAAGTATTCAAAAAAACATTTTTGTATTATATTTTTTGTAGTTGAACCATTTATATAATTTTTAAATAACAGGTTGGATGGAAGTCTGGTGATAAATCACGACCATTAAAAAGGTTGCATTCAGCATCTACATGTATAAATAAAATATTCTTATGTGAAGGATACAATTTAAATGATGAAATTATTTCATCAAGACCTTAATTGTCCCTTCCGAAGCAAATATTTGGGATTTTATGAAAATGCTACAATTGGGGCATGCTGCAACAAAACCAGACAAAGTGAACATTTGTATTATCAAGGATTCCAGGGATCAAAATTTAGTTAACAGTTTTATAATCTTTCCTATTACTTTAGTAATATATAGAATTATTCCTATATAAAATAATTAGTATGAAGTTAATTTACATTAACAGTATTTTCATCTGTGATAACATTTAAAAAAAATGCTTACATTCAATAATGAATTTTTTTGCGGGTTGTTAATTGGCTCTTTCTTGGTTTCTTGCTTCATTATAAAACTTATCAAAATCAACTTTCTACTGTAAACCAAAAAATTGATCAAATAATCAATAAAATAGAACCAAAAAAGAGACAATTTAAAAACAAAACAAAACAACTTATTGGCGATAAAAATACTCAAAAGAAATCGAAAATCTATGGATGAATTTCAAACAGTTATTTGATAAAAAGACTGGGTTAAATCCCGATTTTCCTTTAATGAAATGGCCATTGAAATTCACCAATTACTAGGATATGGAAAAGGAGTTGCTGCTTCCACAATAAAAAACTTCTATCAACGAAAAACCAATCCTAGAAGTAAAACAATAGAAGCAATTCAGGAATGGGTCAACAAAACTGACAAACGGACAAAATGGACAAAACAAACAAAACGAATAAAACGAGTAAAAACGAACAAAAGGAATAAAAACGAACGAACAAAACGAACAAAACGAACAAAATGAATAAAACGAATAAAACGAATAAAAACGAACAAAAGGAACAAAACGAATAAACAAGTAAAAACGAATAAAATCAATAAAAATGAATAAAAACGAATAAAATGAATAATAATAAAACAAACGGATAAAGCGAGAATAAAATGGATATAAAACGAAGAATTTGTATTATGATAGGAACTCTAGCCCAATTCAACAATTTTTAAACATTTTGCATTTCGTTTTAATTCTCCGCAAATAACTGCGATGTATACAAGCTTTTAAACTTGTTGAACGTGAATTTAATTATGATTCATTGTGACGCGAATTTAATTATGATTCGCTTTAGTTATAATTTGTTAAAACAAAGGTTTTTTTGACTGTATGTATATATGTCAGAACCTAAAAACGTTTTTTATTAGAAGTACAAATATTGTTAAAACATGAATCTCTCATTTGAATTTTTTTAAAATTTTCGGAATTTTTTAGTTACCGATTATTTTCGGTGATTTGCAAAACCGTGATTTTATAAAAAAATAGTATCAAAGTTCGAGCCAACACTTTTCTGTATTCGAGCTCGAGCCGAGCTCTTTCGGAGCTTTAATTTTTTATATATATTTAGAAGTGTAATGATTAAATTAAAAGGTATTTATTTATTAATGCATTAGCAGGATCTGATGGAGATGTTATTAATATGTATAGGTTAAAAGAAAATTTTATTAATGATTATTAATGGTTTTATTTATACATTTATATATTAATATAAATAAATAACATATATGTAAAATTTTTGGGTTAAAATCATATCAATTGACCAAAAGATGACAATTATTTCAAGATTATATAAGTACTGATGTTACTGCTATTGTTAAAGGTATGTGTGATTATATTAATATATTAATTTCTTTTTCCAAAGGTTGAACGATCTGACGATCTGACAGTGTACAATCTGTTACGCGATCATATTTATTTATTATTAATAGAAAATAGAAATTATTTGTATTTGATAGAAAATTCAACATCAAAATATTCTAATTAATATTCCTATAGTAACAATATACTATTAATAATAAATTATTAAAAGGATATGTATGCAACGTTGCATCAACTATTAATTATTGATTACTTTTTTATTTTTTATTTTTTCAAAGAAAAAAAATGGAACGATCTGGTGGTGTACGATCAGAAATGATTGTTACACATAATTGTTATAATCTTTCAATAATAATAATAATAATAATAATAATAATTTATTTTTTTATTACCAACTTGTATCCATGGCATTATGATTATTGCCATTGCCACATCATTACCACCACCACCACCACCATCATACCATCATTACCCACCTTTAGAGCTTTGTTCCGAATATTCAAACCTTGCTTGATGTACACCAAAGGTCTATCATTAATAAATAAATTTCTTTATTGTTAATTATTATTTCTCTAATTCTTCGTATTCATAATTATCAAACAATAAATTAACTACTATTATTATTTTGAAATTTTGACCATGTAATTAGAGATTGACCCGGGTTGGGTCCAACCGGGTACCACCTGGGTGGAGAAAAATGAATGTAACACAATGGGATGTCTGATTTATCAATTTTTTTTACATTTCATATGTATTATCCAATCTCTTATAAATAATGATTTGATCAACAATATCATTAGAGTTGTATTAATATATACTAATGAATTATTTTTGTTTTTTGGATTTTGTGTAATGTCACAATGACATTTAACATGATCAACATTTTTTATTTTTTTATATTACGTTACATTTATCGTATGTATTTTTAATACAGATTATCCCAACCTCTTTATAAATAATAATTTAGTCAACAGTATTGTCGGAGTTGCCTTGTTACATATTAATATATTAATGTTTTTGAAAAAGAACATTGAATGCGAATTTCCATATAATATATACCACAATGATGTTTAACATTATGTCTGATTTATAATTCATTTTTATAATAATTCAAACAGTTTAGATTGTAAAGTTTGGAATTAATAAAAAAATAAAATTATTTTTTTATCATATATGTAAATTAAATCCATATATAGAAAGATCTACTCACTCCGTCGGGTAAACCCGTGGGTCACCCAGGTGAAGTTTTTTTAGACGGGTCCAATCTCTACATGTAATTTTAAAATTCTAATAACCATAAATCAGTCCTTTATAATTAAAAGCAAAACTTTTCTAACACTACCTTCCAAGTGGTTGTAAGCGACTTTGTATGGAACACTTTGGCACAACTGTTGCTGCTGAGTTTGCTTTAGTCTGCATACTAATTGAGCGATAATCTTAAAATAAGTGTGAGAAAAGAAATACTTCCGACCTGGCATAGAATAACCAATATTTAAGCTAGCCTTTTCTTTTAACTGTTGTTAAAAGTCCCAATCTGGCTCTGAAAATCGCTTGCTACATGAAAAACGGAGATTTTTTTTTTTGAAGTGGACAATAATTTTATTCGTGTAACGTTTATATTGAATGACACTTGATCTGCAATGTCCCGCAACTAATAAACTCAATTAATTTGTCGATCATTATTGACCAATCACAAAGAAATTCCGTTATGCTTTCAATTTATTTATTATTATAAAAATATTTAATTTTGCATTTTTCAAATCGATATAGATAAATAGATAGAACATATAAACAGATAAACCAAAAGATGTATTTATACATTTCCATAATAAAACAACTTTTTTTTATTTTATTAATCTGCATACATGTTGTCGAGGTTATACCATTGGGTACAGATGAAGAGGATCTTAATAATTCAATGGTAAATTTGTTTTTAAAAAATTTATATGATAACAATAACAAATAATAAATATGTAATAACGACAATAAATATATGCATTTAAGGTCATAAATCTACTGCAAGAATGTTTTTCAGACCACATGTTTAATTACGACAAATATTTAAGTATAAGTTCTGATCAGTTGAATTCTATAAAGCATGATGATTCAATGCCAATAGAGGAAAAAAAAGAAAAGATAGATATTATTAGTAATGAATTGAATCACATCGAATCGCTAGAGAATCTTACATTTGGATTATTGGAATATTTTTTTAAACTCGTTGAAGAATATCAGAATGGTGATGTAAAGTCACGGTCTAATTTTAAAAAAGAAACACTGAAATTAATTTCAACTTTTCACAATTCTGCATTAAAAATGAATGATACAGAGTTTTTCCAACATTTATTAAATCAATATCATCCAAACGGAAACATAAGGCATGAAAAATTAATCAATAATCATCAAAAAATTAATGAAGTGAAAAAAGACAATTTAGCTTTAGATTTGGTTGATGACATGTTAAAAGAAGTCAGTGATTCTGCCGATCATCTTGAAGAAAATATGAATAATAATAAATTTGCTGATAATCCAAAGATGCACGGATCTCTTGAAACTGTTGTTAGATTGGAGGAAGATGAAGGCGATTTTTTTTCAATGAATGAACAGGAAGGTGATTCAATTGATGATGACGAAATACATAGCCATCATAGATTAGTTGGATTAGTTGATCGTGATAATAATGAATACGTTCTTACTAGGCCTCATGACTTAACTGTCTTTTACGAAGGTAAGGGACAATGTGTAATTTTTGTCATATTTTTAGTTTATGATTACAATAATTCTCTTACCAAATATTTCAGATGCACAACTTTTACGAGATATAATTGTTACAATAGTTTCATCTTTTGTATTTGGCTCAATTTCAAATAGTATTGGATTACCAGGTATATATTACATTCCAATATATAAATGTGTGTCACACATATACATTAGTTGTTATCTAATTAAATTATATGATTAAATTACTATTAACATATTTGAAAAAAACCAAATAAGCGTTTTTGGGCTATATTATCGCTGGGTGTTTACTTGGGCCTGCAGGATACAACGTAATTCAGGTAATTAACTAATTAACCAATTTAATTTAATTGATTTTTTAATATATAACAATTAATATTATCATAACAATTAATACCATGATAACAATTTTAGGAATTAATTCAAACAGAAACATTATCACAATTAGGAGTTGTCTTTATTGTGTTTATGTTGGGACTTGGATTTTCATTTGAAAAACTTAAATCTTCATGGAAATTTGCACTTGGTAGCGCATCATTGATATTCATTTCAACACTTAGCTTTTTTATTTTTTCTGGTTTCATCATTGGCGCAAGTATCAATCAAGCTATTTTTATTGGTGCATGTGTATCACTCTCTAGTACAACTGTTGTTGAACGTTTGAAATGTCAAGAGCTTGAACCATTGTATGGTTTATTGGTTATGCAAGATATTTTATTTGGACTTTTATTGGTATTTTATTGGTATTTTATTGATTTTTGAATTTTAAATTTTATGATTATATTAATTTTATTTATTATATAAATATATATAGGCAGCTTTACCAGCACTTTCTAAATCTGGAATTGATGTGATTTTAGCTATTGGTCATTTACTTTTATCTTTAATGGTGTTTTTTGGGTTAAGTTATATAATCACAAAACTTCCA